TGTGTGCATAATCTAAACATGTTCAGTCAAACCAATGTGGATTCCCTTTTCTAAAGTTTAGGTGCAGTCTAAACTTATGGTAGTTTTCTAGGTCAGATTTTAATGGAATTATGGAGTGCTGGAAGACTAGATTTTCATCCTTATGGTGTGCTCGGCTGCAGGCTCAGCAATCGTCTATTCAGCTTACATTTTCCCCGACAAGTGGGCGAACAGCTCCTTCCACCAGTCCTACATCACCATCGCTGTGTTCAACACCGTCATCTGCACCATCCTAGCATGCTACTCCAGGTAAGCTGAAAAAATGACTTTTACATCCCTACTGCTGATGCTGTTTCTATCCTAGATTTATGCTTTTATTATGCAAGAAGAGGTGTCTGTACTATGCAATTTAACATGCGAGCCTTCTTAACAGCAGATGGCTTCACTTTGTGCTTTTAACTAAATTTTCCAACTGAAAAAAACATTACGTCCCCAGCTCAAAATCAATTTTTAACTGATTCAAGCCAATCTAAAATCTAAAAGCTCATCTCATGCAAGATGAATAAAATATAAGTGCCTCACTGTGTATGAAAATAAAGGGGGGAAAAACAGGATAGAACCTCTCCACTGCATAAGAGTGCAGATACAATAAAACTAACAACAGTAAAGCGTTTCCTTGCAGCTGCATGGTGCAGAACTGAGCACGAACATGCTGTAGGTCCTTTTTAGCATGTGTGACTGTGTGTTTGATCTAAAAGTTTTTGCCCATTTAAAGCTCCAGCTGTGGGTGAAACTTTGAAATGGAAAGCCTTAGAAGAGTCCTCTGAGAAATTCAGTTAAGATCTAACATTTGCATCTTCTCATAATAACACACTAAATGCTTTTTCCTTTTCCCATGCTATACGTAACGCTGTATAGGCAAACATGCATGTTATCATGTCGTCATTAGCACAGTAACACTTTCTAGGAAGCATACAGTTACGCAGTCAGTGTTTCAACTCCAGCTAATAAGAAGGAAAATGTGTTTATAGCAGTTGGGTGAACCTGGTCCAAGACAATATTGTAATGTGACAGCTAACAAATATTTGTCGTCTTTGTATGTCGAGGTTGTACTTGAATACATGAGTCACGTAAATCTTGTCAAACAGCCTGAGCACCGTGTCTGGTACAGCACAATGGTGGGCGTGGCTTACATCAAAATCTAGATCATTCTCAGCGACTGCAAATCAGAACTTTGCTGGAGTTCTGATCATAAGAGACAAAACACAGTATTCACTTTTCCACGTCGTGCATTTACAGCAATAATCATATTTATTACCTTTATGTACTGGAAAATGTTGGCTTGGTCTAGCTAACGATTGTTCTTTCACTTATCTCTCCCCCACCGCTAAGGCTTGGCTTACCTTTTCTACAGTATAATCACGACATCATAAAGAGGTAAACAAAACGTATTTGCTAACAATCTGCTCCTCTGTCTCGTTTATCGTCCTCTGAACTGTATTTTTCGCTACACTGTCATTATTTAAATGCAAGGTGCCTACGTAAAACATGCGAGTCATCTATTTAAAATATTGACAAGTCCGCAGAATCACACCGGTTACATTCGGACACGCCACAGAAGGTGAATGGAATTTCGAAGGTGCAATTGAGCAACTTGCTTCTTAACACAACTGTTGTTATGAATCTGTAACTATACGGACCAGCACTGACTCCAAGTACAGTTTCAGTTGGAGCAGGTTGGAGGAGCTGACACACAGGGCAGCCAAACGTGTTCTGTAACAGCCTGACTCACTGACTCAAAGTCAATCCTGGCTTCACGCAACAATAGGAGGAAGCGGGCACTGCATTAACGTGCTGCTCAGAAAACATTTCATGGTCCACATGCTTCGTAAATTTAAATATATTTGCGTGTATTTACATTTTGAGTTGTTTAAAGAAAGATTTGTTTTATTATCATTTCTGGCTCATTCAAGCTGTTTTCAGCTGTAATTCCATTTTAATTTATGTTCTGTTTAAAAAATGTAGCAGGTTAATAATCAGTTCTTACATAATGTTTTCATTATCGATGATGATTCTGTTTCTGTAGAGCTTCCTCCACTGAAAATGCGTTTCTTTCTTTTTTTTCCCCTCCAGATTCCCTGAGTACCAGAGTCCAAAGTTTAGCAAATTTCTTAGAGTCGTATCCTTTGCCTACCCTTACCTGTTTGACAACATTCCTCTGTTCTACCGGGTAAGGCACTTCAAATATCCACTTGCCTCACAAGACACACCTGAAACAGTATAAAGCAAAATATGCGGTTAGTTCTAGAGAGGTAACCATACAGTAGGTAACAGACTGAAAGCATGTGTATGTTTGTAATTTTTTGTGTGAGTATCATCTTCAAACTTCTTTGCTACACCAAAAAACACAGCATTTTTTAAGGGTTTTTGACCCTGGTGCTCAATGTTCCACTTCCATTTGCATAACTTAGCCATCAACGCTACCTCAGATTTAACTTTAAAGCTGTTGCTGCTTTAAATAAACAAAAATAACAATTCCCTCCCTTACAGAAGTTAATTTCATCATCACACTGCCTTTGAAAGTTTAGCCAGCAAACACTGATGCAAAACAACAGAAAAACTTTGGCAAATAGCATCAGTAGATGGCTACACAGAAGCTATATAGTACGGGGCTAATATTCCAATACATATTCAATATATTTCTGCATCCTTGGTATAATAATCTAAAATTAAGTATGTTACATGGTAAAATCCACAACTACTACAGAAAAGGGCATAATAAACAGATAAAAATCACTAACCCCTGAAGAAAATATTTTATTATATCATAAAACAATAAACTCCTTTTATTGAAGGCGGTAACCTTCTATAAAATGACGTAACCCCTTCGGTGTATATCAAGAAGAGCCGAGTATTTTCCTTTGAAAGACTTACAAAGCAGAATGTTTGGAACCCACCTGAATACTTTACAACCAATGAGCTCCCTGTTTAGATACATGCGTTTAACATTTATGATAAAAACAATATCATAAATATCATAAATGTGAACAATACTCTGCGTTTATGACATGAAAGCAGCTCCACTGGCAGATGCAGAGAGTTTGACCCTCAATAAGAAATTTTCGGGTGTTAAAGTAAAAAACAGTCATCGGCTATTTAACCATTGAAGTTAAAAGCGATTGTGTTGTCGTGTTCGCAGGTGTTCCTGTGTAAAGGGGAGGGCTGTACAGATAACGCTACCAACATCCTCCACTACTACCACATCACCCTGGCTTTTCTCACTGCTTTTCTGTTTGCCACCCATTTACCCGAGCGCCTGGCACCCGGAAGCTTCGACTTCATAGGTAAACCAGATCTGACGAGCACTCTTTATAATTATTAGCATGTTTAGCTTTTTCGGCCTGTTTACTGATAGAGCGTTATCGCCAGTTCCTCTTAGCTGTACATAGTGTTTCACAAAACCCCCCAAAATAAACCACTGTACACAACCTGCTCAGCACTAAAAGGAAGACAGACAAAGGAGACATTTACAAGCTACTGAAAGCAGAGATCTAGCCATGAAAGAACTTTAACTACTGTCTCTTTGTTGGCAAAGATTACGTTAAAAATGCTCTCTGCATCGCTGTATTGTGCTGCATTTCTTTTCTTTTCCTTCAGCATGAAATTTTTTTAGCTTTTTTGAATGTTCAATGTACTATTTATTATAAGTCATTTGTTTTGGCTATTTTTTTGCAATAACTCTGTGACTTTCACGTCTTTATGGTTTTTGTACTTCAAATAAAGTGAATTTTAATGCTAATTTCTGATCCTAAGGTGAAGTTAATAAGCATTCACCAACACTAAGGGGTAATTAATCAGTGACAAAAAGATCATAAAGCACTCCAAAAAAAAAAAACCAACAAATAAAAAACAAAACAACAATGAAAAAAAGGTTGAACAAGTTGAACTAAACAATTTCCAACAACCCAACTTAATAAAGGGAAAATAAAAAAGAATCCCCCCGCCGGGCCAAAAAAAAAAAGCAAAAACAACCCCGGTTTTTTCACATATCCTGTGTTAATGTTGTGTTTCCGATGTGAATCATTTGCTCAGTGCTGAACGTTTGCAGTCTACCACTTTCCTCTAACAAACACATATCAACTGCTCCCTCTGCAGGTCACAGCCATCAGCTTTTCCATGTGTGCGCCATCCTCGGCACCCACTTCCAGATGCAGGCCATGGAGCAGGACATGACGATACGCCGTTCCTGGCTCGTGGAAAACTCAATCCCCATCACATTTGCCAACTCAGTGGGTCCGGCGCTGCTTTGTGTGGTGTTGAATTTGGTTATCATCTTCCTCTACAGCCTACCTCTCCTCTTGGGCCCAGTCTGCAAAGACAAGAAGTACAGTAGAGGACCAAAGAAAGACAAACTCTGCCCCCACAGCTGAACCTCCAGCTTCATTGGTCATGGTTTAAAGGGCTTTAACTCGTCCAAATCATACACTTTATATGGGCCCAAGACTAAAGAAATTGCATTATGGGTAATATAAAGGGTATAACATAGTAAAGGGTGCACCAGATGAGGAACTGACATGATGTTTAAATGAATCACGGTTGCATTTGGCCTTTAATTATCAATGAGATGCCTGCTGTTGTGCGGATAGGCTGAAAATATAGGTGCAAGGTACACAAACATAGCATGAAAATTAACAATGTGTTTGTTAAGTTTCATAATATGTAACGACTTTTAAATGTTTCTGAGGAAACCTGTTTCTACATGAAGCTACAAATGTAGCAGGTTAGCTACATTACGAGGCAGCGCATTGTGTGTTTATCTTTTCGCTTCTCCGATTTCCACACTTGTGGTGTATGAAGAGACTGCAGGGAACAAAAACTATGTAAAATACTGTTTTTTCCCTTTCAATTCCAGGTTTTGATGCTGAACTGACAATGTGCCTTTTCATGTTTCTCATGACTGTTGTTAAGTTAAATGTGACATCAGTCAAATAATGCACATCAAACTAATGAAGCAGTTTTGTTCAGGGAGATCAGATGTTTGTTTTTTTTAGTTTAAACTTCAGCTTAATAGACTGACAGTGTGGTCACTGAGCACAGAGCTGATGTCCTCTGAGTCATTTATTTCCCTCAGAATGTCTGATGTTTCTGGTGTTACATTTTCCTGGATTACAAAACAGAGTATTTAAGAACAAAGTTATTTATTATGAGTTTTTCATATAAACTGTAAACTACGATTGTCTGTGTCCCTTTTATTTTAATTAGGAGCATCCTGTTGCATAATGTTGGCACATTAGTGTTTATCCTACAAGTAATTACATCCTACAACAGGGTGACCAGATCCCAACAAACTAAATGTGGGACAAACAGTTTGTTTGTCTGAGAGAAATATATGAGTATGAGTGTGAGACATGTGAGGCCTGGAGTGTCCAACCTAAAAGAATAAACAGATGTAAGCTATGCAGGTCAAATGTGAGGGCCAAATATAGTATTCAAATACATAGTATTCAAACGGGAAGAGTCATGTGAGCAAAAGCAGGGCAGCAACCAGCTTGCATCTACAAAAAGTGGCCTGCTAACACTGATTGCAACTTGTGGTGACTAAATGGTTACCCAGAGGTTGTGGATGTTTTACAGTCATAACCACTTTTGATCCCAAGGTAATTGCACAGGTCGTCTGATAAGAGGCAACTTTTCTGCAAACACTTGTAGCCTGAGTTGGACTGGCTGGAATCACTCTCAGAGAGATTTCCAAAGGGTTGCCAACCACTGCAGTCTAATTTCTAAATGCAGACATGGCAACATGTCGCCAAGACTGCTGGCAATCATGGAAAATGACTCCCACCTTCTCCATAACACACTGGACAATCTGAAGAGCAGTTTCAGCAACAGATTCCTTCAACCTTGCAGTCTGAGGGAACAACGCAGGAGTTCGTTCCTTCCTGCTGCTATCACTCTCTTTAGTTCATCCACTTGGGTCAGACCCACACATATTGAACCAGACTAAACATTGCTCACTGCACTCTGTCACTTTGTACTCCACAATGTATACTTGCACACCTGTACAGTAATATCTTTAATATCACAGAAATATTAGTTAATAGTGTCCTTCTATATTCATGTATATAGTTATTTTGATATTTATATCTCTATAAAGAGAAAATTCATTTTATGTGATTTGTTGTATGCATGCTGCTGTGACAATTCACAGTAGCATTCTTTTCTGGTTCTTTTCAGTTTCTCTGATTCTGATCAGTCTGCACAACTCGAGGGGACTCGACTCAACTGCCTGTCAGTTGGTTGTTTTCTGGTTATATACCGATAGAACAGGACTGTTATTGAGCATAACCCATATGGAATATGGGTTATGCTTTATATAGAAATCTTATAAAGTTTGTATCTGTCTTGTGTGAAACTTGTGTGAAAAGCATACAAGAGTGAAAACAGATATAAGATCCCTAGAAAAATTATATAAATGAAACATGTATGTTTTGGATACTTAGTAAAATAATATATGAAAGTGGCCACTTTCATGAGTAAATCATATAAGCCTTATATGATTCACTATATGAAGTAGGCCACATCTGATGCAAGTCTTTTATAAGTTTTTTCTATTTCTTTTCCATATGTGAGAACTAAACGTGGATTTCTGTCTTTGTGCCCAATAACAGATAGGTGATTTCCAAGGACCCATTCAAACACAGACTTATAGTAGACTGACTCCCTCTTATGGCAACATTTGGCAGGTTTCAGTGACAAGCTCATTTTATAACTTTATACAATGTATAAAATGATTTATCCATTAACTTTCTTATTGAATAAATGTATACTGGCAATGTTTAACTGGGAATGTTTGCAATAACACTGTATCATGGAGTGTATCGTGGTAATTCCCACCTGTACTATTGGTCACTCCATATCATGATCCTCTCCTGTGTGAAACTGAAAAGAATGATAACTTAGGAAAAACACTGGAAACTGACTTTCACTGACTTCACACACTTATAAGCACATGTGGTAACTTCCATGATATTTATATTTATTTTGGTCAGAAAATGACATGTTATCCTGCAAATGACCCATGAAGACAGCCTTTCTGCTTTCTTCACAGCCGTTAAAGGCCAAATTTTAGAAAAGTGTCTGCCATGTACTGCTAATTTTTGTATACTAGAGCCAATCAAAATAAGAGACTTTGACTCAGAGGGTGGAATCAGGGGACCAAAATGCTGTGCTGTCCCACAAAATTGTAACATCTGGTCACCCTTATAATGCCAGTACCAGAAAGGAGTTTGCATCGTGTCAACATTTTTCCATAATAAAGAGACCCAGTGAGGCCTACTACAATATATTCCAATATAAATGCAACCTTTATCTACCGTTTGTGTAATTCTTTAACCAAATAAACAGATTACACTAAAAAAAAGGAGGGGGGGGGGGCATTGGGTATAAAATGTAAAAGAATATAGGAGATCAGGCAGGTGTCTGACGCTTAGACAACTCACTGAAGTGTTGGAAACAATAAACTGTCGAACTAATTAATTGCAAATTAATTAGAAAAACGAGTTATTTCCCCAAATAGTCACTCTAATATATTGTCCCCCAAGCCCCCCTTCTTTAACGTTTCAGGTGTAATTTAATTAAGGTTAATTACTAGTTTCAAAGTTCAGAAATAAAACAGAAGTTAAATGTTACGACATTGCTCTAAAAAATAGGAATGAAGAGGAAAATCATGCTAAACTTATCAAAATACAGCTTACCTGATTTTCGGACCTGTCTGTTTGATCCAGAGCTAGTAACGGAGTTAGGAGGGGGAGAGGATGGAGGCGGGACTTCCGCTGCAGAGTATTGAGATTGGCTGGAAGATCAGATTTTCGGAAGAACGTTTACAAGAGGGAAATTTTCAAATCGAGAAGAGGCGCTCGTGAGAACAGCGGAGAGGGTGTTCACAAAACAAACAATGCAAAGACCGGGGTCAGTATTATCATCGTTTACACGTCTAACAGTGAACAGGTAGCACATTATAAATGAGAGACGTATTAAAATGACTGTAGTTAGTTTACGGTTGTTCTCTGAAAAGGGAACTTTGAGATTATCGCCGCGTAATTAAAACCGTCTGGTAACTGCTCAACTGACTTCCAAGCTCAGATTCAACTCCTCGGCTGTTTCTGACAGTGTGTTTCCTACACTTTTTTAAACCTAAAGGGTAGCGTGACTTCGGTTTGCTTAACGTTCAAACTATAATATCGAGTCAGGAATAAAATTACGTTACCGTGGTTAGCGAGTTAGAAGCTAACTTGGCTAGCTAGTTAGCGTAATTCATAAGAAGAATCCATTCATCATACACGTCAGACCCTCACTGACAGTTTTTTTTTTTTACCATCCGCCTACCTACCCCTGCCTAACTGTGTAGTTTGGCACTTTAAGCACACGTCTGTTTCTACATAATACCGCACAAGACACACACACACACACGTTAAGATAGGTCGGTTATTCCGTAACTAAATAATGTGTTTGGTGTTGATGGTGTTGTACTGACACTTCCAGCAAAGGGAAGACTCCTCGGAGGCCTGGGCCAAAGAAGGCGTCCAACACAGAGAGAGATCCTGTGGGAGTAAGTGAACTTATTTACTCATTATTCATGAAACTAAAGTATAATTAATGGAAAAGCCATTACTGTCAAATCCTCTTTTTTGTAGTTTAGTGCTTCGTGTAAACACAGACAGTGCTGCCAGTGCGTGTGGCAGATAATTGCTGTTTTTCAAACAAAAATGAGAAAAAGGTGACTTATTTCAACCTTTTTTAGCCCTTTGTTATGACCATGCCAGTTAACTGTTGAGATTTGTTGCCTTGCTTATGGTATTTTTTGGTAAACTGAATATTTGGATGTGTACTGTTAACTGAGCAAAATGGCAAACTGGATTGTTACTTGGACTTGAATTAGAAAAGTTTGACACATTTTCCCAGTGTTCTGGGGTTTCAGAAACTAAACAGTTAATCATGTGACTGATTGACTTAAAATCTTCTAGTCTAAAGAATTGTTAGTTAAGTCCCGTTGAATAATTTTGTCCGTTTTAAGCTCACAGACAGACTTCGAATCCATATATGTCCGTGAATTACCCTCCATCATGGTGGAGGGCTTTGTGTGTTCCAGTGATCACAGGGGTTATGTTTTGTTTCTAGTAAGGTCTCAAGACAAATTGGTCCTGCGTGGGGGCCAAACAATGAGCTTTTATAAAAACAACATTTATTGTAGGTGTACTGCCGTATACGGCCCCTTGGATCAGAGGATGAGGAATGCTGTGTTGAGATGATCAGCAGCACCACCATTCAGCTGCATGCTCCTGATGGCCTTAAAGCTAACCGAAATGGGGAATACAAGGAGGTAAGTGTGTTTTATAAAAATGTAAAACAAGCTGGCCACTCATACTTGATTAGTATTTCCCCCCCTCTCTTTCATGACCTC